AATTTATTAAAACATGAGGGACTAAATCTAGTATTTATCCTAAATTATATATAAATACTGGCATGGACTAAAACATAATATATTAAAATTAGAATACCAAATTAAAATAAATAGAAAACAGATTTCAGTGACCATAATGTAAGTTTACAAAGTTAGAGTGACTGCGTGTGTGGTTTGACCATACGAGAATTTACACAAACACCCCTCCCCCAAAACGATGCCGTGTGGGGAGGGTATTTAAACCCATTTAACCGGCCTTTAAGGGCCGATTTTCTCATTTTTCTAGTTGTGTTTCTCTCTTTAGAGACAGAAACTCTCGTTTTCTCTCGTCGGAGGAGAAAACCAGCCACCGTTTTCGACGCCGATCATCACCGTCGGCCACCGGAAATGGTGGCCGAAAATTACAATATTACCCCAAATCGTTCGTTTTAAACCTTAAAGCCGAATCTAGCCTCCTTTCCCTTTAAAACCCTATATTTTACCTTAGATCTAAAATAAATCGAAGTGGTTACCTTCGGTTACTTGGATCTCCGGCAACGTTGGAAAGCTCTGATGGTCGAGGTAAGGCTCTCGTTTTTTTTTTCTTTCGGTTTGACACTGTTTGGGATCGTTGGTTATTTGCCTTGCTATTTCTTTTTCTTTTTTCTGTTTTGCTCTCCTCGTCGTTGTGTCTCTTCTTGGTTGCTGTCCCTGGTGGTTTTTCTTTGCAGGTGTTCGATGAGGCTTTATAGCCACTCCAGTGTTCTGCTCGGACCAGTCCAAAGGGGGAAGGTTCGGTGAGTCACCAAAGCTATGCTGGTGACTCACCATATGGAAGCAACGTGGATGGCTGGCCTAGCGTTGGAGAGCTTCTGGAGGCTTCTGCAATGGTGGTGTCGTGGCAGCAGGGGTCGACAGCTGCTGGTTGGGTCATCTGGTAGTGGAGCGTCGGCAGGGGTTGTGGATAGTTGAGGCGGCGGTGCTAGTTGAGATAGGGTTTAGAAACCCTATCTACATTAGGGTTTGGGTCCTACTGGGCCATCTGGGTTGGGCCTGGAATTGTAATCGGGCCTCGGGTTTGTTGTAAAATGGCTTCGGATTTGGTCCTGAAATGTATTTAATAATAATAATAATAATATAATAATATTAATAATGATAATAATAATAAAAGTAAAATGAAAAATTAGTGCCTACACTAATCTCGAACCTAATTTTTAGAGAGAAAAAAATGTTACATTTTATAGAATTGAATTATGTTGAAACTCATTCAGATCCGAATCTCATGCACATCCATAACCCTAGATACATATGGACCAAACCTTTCATGTTGAACAAGTAATTGAACCCATGGACAGATAAAACTTCAATTTAAAGGGATTGTGAGAAACTACATTTATTCCCAAATCATTAGTTCCATTTAAGCTTCCAACCTTTCATATTCTCAAAAGACTATTTATTGAAAAGAAAGCGACTTGAGCATATATATATTAATTTGTGGTGAAGGAAAACAAAAGAAATTTGGAGTTTTAGGTCAGCAGCAGCCATTTTTGTGAGGCCATATGATTTTGACATACCAACAACACAAACTGTGGTCTCAATTCAATGGGCGGCTGGGGTTTGATATTTAATCTTACCTATGGTTTAAACAATGCCAAATTATGTAATATGGTTTTAGGTATGTGATCATCATTAATTAAACAACACTTAGCCACCCAAAATGACAAATAACTTCCATACATTTAATCATAGAGTAAATTACACCAATCATCAATGAGTTTTATTCTCTCACATTTCATTCATTGTACTTTAAATCCGTTCAATTTCCTCACTGAATTTAATACATTTGATTTTTTAGTCGCTCGATTGTTTTCTCACTAATGGCATTATAAATTGACTGTTATATAAGTGCAAAACAACGTCGTTTCGGTAAAAAAATTATTTTTCTTAAACGGCAACGCCGTTAAATATTTAATGACAGAGTGATAAAAAAAACTAAATGTATTAAGTTCAGTGAGAAAATTGAACAAATTTAAAGTATAATAAGTGAAATAGGAGAGAAAGTAAAATTAAGTGATGATTGATGTAATTTACTCTTAATCATATCATCCTTAAATTTTTATTTGTATATAATTATCAACTCTCATATAAATAGGATGAATTGAGAAGAGATGGTCGAAGATAGTTATATTCTTGAAAATATTAAATTATCATATATTTTAATTTTTTTTTATTTTACATTAATAGTTTTTTTAAATTATAATTTTTATATTACTTAAAATCTAAAAATTCATCTTTTTAACATAAATTCATACGTTGCTCCATATATATAAATACAACTTAAACATGCATAACCTTCTTTCAAGAATTAAAACCCCTACTTCACTACAACCACAAGAAGTTGAATAACAGATGGAAGTAACTTGAGCTTCAACTTCAATGGCCGACCCACAACTTTTTTTTATAACACTAAATCATGTTGAGGGCCATGCAATGCAAAGGAGTCCCCCCATGATTACAATCCTAATATTCGAATAACATTTATTTAATAATAAACTGAATAAAAAAATCGATAATTTTATTTGATTTAATAAATATATTAAAAGCAAGTTATATACTAAAATATATGATACACGACGATGTCTCAAACCAAAAAGGTTTTGCCTGCATATATATATATATATACAATATTATATTGGATGCCATTATTTTATGTTATACCTTTACATGTCGTTCCAATGACATATAATATTTAAATATATGAGATTAGTTATCGGCATTAAATATAATAATATTCCATTAGGTCGTCATTATCTTCCCAAAACGATCTCCCTGGATTACAGATTGTCATTTTTCTGCATTTCTTTGCACCTTTGGAGAAAATCATTGGATTATCTGAAATGTAATGTAGAAAACAATTTGAATTTCGTATTTCAAATTATGCTAAGTTTAATAAAAATAAAATATATCTATTTCATGTATAAATTAGATCTAACCTGTTTAGGGACGAGTATGGGTCGAGTTTTCAATCCCCTAACCCGATCTGAAAATTTACACCATCCATTTAAAACTCGATCCGACCTGGGGTGACTATACCTGACCCAAATCGATCCCATTTTTTGAGATAAAATCTAAACTTGACATGTCCCAACCCAAATAAATATATTTATAAAAAAGGGTAAATTAAAAATTTGACAACTGAACTTTACTCTGTTACCTATTTCACTCATTGTACTTTAAATCTTTTCAATTTCCTCACTGAACTTAATATATTGATTTATTTTTGTTATTCGAACGTTAAATATTTAACAGCGTTAAAATGAGTTATTACATAGATGCAAAACAACGTTGTTTTGATGCAAATTGTATTTTTTTTAAAACAACATCATTTTTAATGTTGTTAACTATTTAACTACGGGATGACCAAAATATGAAAGAGAGTAAAGTTCAGTGACAAAAAAATTCAATGTATTAAGTTCAATGAGAAATTGAAAACTTTGAAAGTTGATTGAGTAAAATAAAAAACAGATTAAAATTCAGGATGCAATTTAAAATTTATTCTATAAACAATATTATTTTTATTCAATAAAAATGAATAAAAAATAATATATATGGTTATTATTATAATTATATCTAAATATATAAAATAAAATTTTGAGTTGGATCAAATACTTTTACCTTAAATTTAAACCAGATCCAAACATATCGTATTTGGGTCTCGTGCCCATCCCTAAGCCTGCTCCAGCTCCACCGCCCCACGAGATAAACATGATGATCCAGTTTTTCAAACACTGCGGAACTCATGGAACTTGCTCGAACAATAATGAAAATTTTCATTTAAGAATAAATCATGAATGTTTCACTCTCTCTTACGTGTGGCGATGGGGCGGTAGTTGATAATCGTCAGCTCGCATATCTGTGGCCAAAATTAAGCCAGCTAAGGAGTACCACTCTCACCAGCCACCCCACCATTGTGGTTCATAAAGAATAAACATTCCAACGGTGTATTCATGCCTTTTTCCCACTAAACCCCAAAGAAAAAATGCCAGAAAACTATTGATCAGTCGTCATAATTTCATTATGTTTAATATCACAAGACATTAAATTTATTCATTTATCCCAAGCTTTATCCCCACCATTCTCTCAGCCACTTTGGTATTTAAAAAACAGCCCCCCATTAACTCACCAAAAGCATAGAGTTCGGTTTCATTGTTTGAACCAGAGTCTGTTGTAAAGAGCAAAATAACTAGAAGGATGGAAGGAAAAGAAGAAGATGTTAGATTGGGAGCCAACAAGTTCTCCGAGAGGCAGCCTATTGGGACGGCGGCTCAGTCCCAAGACGACAAAGACTACACTGAGCCACCACCTGCTCCGTTGTTTGAACCCAGTGAGTTGACCTCTTGGTCCTTCTACCGAGCTGGGATAGCTGAGTTCGTAGCCACTTTCCTTTTCTTGTATATCTCGGTGTTGACTGTTATGGGCGTTGTTAAAGAACCGACTAAGTGCTCAACAGTTGGGATCCAAGGGATTGCTTGGGCCTTTGGTGGTATGATCTTTGCTCTTGTTTACTGCACTGCTGGTATTTCAGGTAAACTATATACATATCCTTTACAAATATTTGCTACATAGACATGTACGATTGGATTCTTGATGAAATTATGGTGATGGATAGGTGGTCATATCAATCCGGCGGTGACATTCGGGTTGTTCTTGGGAAGGAAATTGTCCTTGACAAGGGCCATATTCTACATGGTGATGCAGTGCTTGGGAGCCATATGTGGTGCAGGTGTGGTTAAAGGGTTCATGGGGAAGACAAGGTACGGTGCTTTAGGCGGCGGAGCTAACTCGGTGGCGCATGGCTATACCAAGGGAGATGGTCTTGGTGCTGAAATTGTCGGCACCTTTGTTCTTGTTTACACCGTCTTCTCCGCCACTGATGCCAAGCGCAGTGCCAGAGACTCTCACGTCCCTGTAAGTTCAAATTTGATCAGATGATATTTTTGTTAGAATTGTAAAGAGTTTACTTAAACTTGTGTTGTTTGCTAGATTCTGGCACCCTTGCCAATTGGATTCGCAGTTTTTTTGGTGCACTTAGCCACCATCCCAATCACCGGAACCGGTATCAACCCGGCTCGTAGTCTTGGTGCAGCCATCATCTTCAACAAGGACAAGGGTTGGGATGACCATGTAAGCCGATTCCTTCACCATTCTAACTCTTGTTGTAACCATGAATATTGATACTTATCTACTTTGGTTTGGTTGCAGTGGATCTTCTGGGTTGGTCCGATGATTGGAGCAGCACTAGCAGCACTCTACCATGTCGTTGTGATCAGAGCCATTCCTTTCAAATCAAAATGATCCGATCAACGGTCATGATTATGATTATGATCTTAAGAAGGAGAATTCCACCCATCCTTTCAGTTTGATTCCATCTTTCTTTTGTTGTATGCCCTTTGTGTATGTATACAAGAATATGAAAATATATAATTCCAATCTGTTCAAAGTCCAATATGAACATATTCTCTTTCAATGAGTTTCAAGTTAATATATTATTCCAATAACAAAGAATCCAAGTAAGGGACACCTCAAATTTGAGTCACAATGGCCTATCCAACTACTATCTTGCAGCAACAATGTCTCGGATGCTTGTCTTTCACATAACTAGCTTAAGTCCAAACCTCATCTTCCTCTTCCCCATCAATGCCAACAAACCAACCATATATCATCAAGCAACAACAAGCTCACAGGAAGCTATGATACTAAAATTTGAGGCATTAATTATTGAACAACCGGACATGGTAATTGGGCTCACACATAGACTTGGCATTGGCATAGACTATCACTATGTTCAGTCAAGTCCTCAAGTTGTTCACTCCTCAAAAGAAGCTCTGAAATCATTCCCAAGTTGAGCTTTGAAGCTTTACAAATGAATTAGGCTTTACAAAAGAGTGAGCCTAAATGAATTAAGCTTAAATGAACAAGATTATATTTATATTTAAATGAACAAGATTATATTTGTATTTGTCTATTTATTTAATTTATTTTAATATCATATTTGTATATATTTGTTTATTTTTTAAAATATTCATATTCGGTTTATTTAGCGTTCATAAATATGTTCGTTCAATGTTCGTCAACATTTTTGTTTAGTATTCTTAAACATAGTCAATTATAAATTAAAAATGGTGAAATTACATCACTAGTCTTCAAAATACTTCTCATTTTAAACTCTAAAGTTCATCCTGCACTCAATTTAGTCTTTAGGTTCACCAATATTTAAAATATAAAAAGATAAAAAGAAAAGAAAAAGAAAACCAGATACACGAACTTATATACGAGTTAATAAATAAGCTCTCAACGAGTTTGTTTGTGAACATAATTCGATTTATGTTCATTTTTTTATTAAAAGAAATATAAAAATTTTGTTTATACATGTTTATTGAATTTGATATTTGAACATTACACGAACCGTTTATAAACCACCATACCATTAAATGGGACCAATTTGCATGTTTATAAACAAATTATATTCCAAAACATATAAATATGATTATGTCTCTAACCTAAAGGTCTTGCCAGCCAATATAAAATGTTAGAATGCTTGAAAGATTCTGAATTTGATTATTTGTGTTACATTAGATGCCATTCTTTTATATGTTATCTTATACATGTCATTCCAATGAAAGAAATTATAAATAACTGAGATTAGGTAATAAAATTCCAATTAGCCCGATCATCATCTCCCGAAACCAATTACAGATTGTCAGTTTTTCTGCAATTTTTGTAGTCCTTACAATAAAATTATTAGCTTATATAATTAAAGGAAGTACATTTTATATGTTTAATACTAAGTGAAATACTTTTTTTAGAAAGATATAAACATATTATTTAGTTGAAAACTTGGATAAATTATATGTTTAGCACTAAAACTATCAGTTTTGATCCGTTTTAATAACAAAACTTTTTTAATTTTTAAAATCATACCTAAAATTTAGTTTTTATTTCATTTTAGTATGATAATTCAAAATTTAACGTTAAATTTAAAAAAATATTGAAACTTTAGGTACTAAAACGGACCAAAACTGATATTTTAAGCACTAAACATGTTAAATATTTAACAATAGGGTACTAAAATGAAAAAAAAACTAAATATTAGGTATGTTTTTGAAATAATTAAAAGTTTATATACTAAACAAATCAAAACTGATAATTTAAGTACTAAGTATATAATTTATCCTTACAAACTTATTAAAAAATAAATCACTCACTAACAATTAATTAATTTAGTTGAATGAGACATTATTCTTTAAAAAATATCAAATTTAAATTTTAATAATTACTAAAAAATAAATTAAATTGAAAGTGTTGTCACATATTGAACTTATATAACATTCTATCATAATTATCTATTGATAAATCCAATACTAATAGTTATAAAAAATCATTAACCATTAGATTGAAATATATAACTAAGTGACTTAGGATGTATTTTACCCATAAAAGAAACATGACTAATCATTTACTCCCCCTCCAGTCTAGCAATGGGGTGATTTGACTAAACTGACACCTTTTTGTCGAAATTATCCCTTTCTAACACCCTTTGACCAATATTTCCCGAGGTAGCACCCTTTCGGTTGAGGTGGCACAAAGGCACATCCATGGGGACGCGCTTTACCTGGGTTTATGCTGATTGGGATGCCACGCGTGTAAGGCGCATCCCCGGGGATGCGCCTTATATGCGCTTTACCTGAGTCCAAGTTGATCGATCTACCACGGAAAAATATGTCTGCTACTACGTCCAACGTGACAACGGATGTCAATGGATGTCATGTGTATCAAAGAGGAAGAGGAAGAACAACTTATGGGAACTAACCAGATACAACGATCTTCATACATGTTGTGCAAGAGGTATAAACCAGGATCATGCCAACTTGGACTCCAACATTATTTGCCAAGCAATCATGCCCATTGTGAAGAAAAGCTCTCATATAGCTATTGCAGTGTTGATTTCTACTATACAGTCATAATATGGGTACACCGTCTCCTATAAAAAAGTTTGGTTGGCAAAAAAAAATGTCATTTGCAAACTTCATGGCGAATGGGATTCCTCTTACAACGAACTGCCCAGTTGGTTTCATGTTGTGTAAAGACTCAATCCCGGGACAATTGTTGAGTTCGAAACTCAACATCATTACGTGAATGATCGAATGGTTCGCGATCGCTATCAATTCTACCGTGTCTTTTGGACTTACCCTCAGTGTATTAATGCAGCCAAGTACTGTAAACTAGTTGTCCAAATTGATGGTACTTTCTTGTATGAGAAATACAAGCAAGTTTTATTATTGGCTGTGGTCCAATATGGAAACCGCAATACTCTTCCTATTGCGTTTTCCCTCGTTCAAGGAGAAGACATTGAGTCCTGGGTTTTTTTCCTTAAAAATTTACGTTTACATGTTGTCACCAGAGAACGAGTATGCATTATTTTAGACCGAGGAGTCGGGATAAAAGAAGCAATGGAGTCTTTGGGTACAATGTATAGACCTCCACATGTTCAACATCGTTATTGTGTTTGTCATATTGCTGCAAACTATTACGAAAAATACAAGAAGAACGATGAATGTCAGTTAGTCATGCGGATGGGTATGTTACTTTTTCCCAATTTTTCTATCATTTTCGTATTACTTATTTATACTTCATATTAACTATTACATATTCCTAATGGCTTAGGTTACGAACTCTTACCTCAAAGGTTTGAGTCTATGCTACAAGAGTTGTTTGGCAAAAATAAGAAGGGGTGTGAGTACATTATGGACATCAGCAAAGAAATGTGGACAAATGCATATGACAGGGGTATCGTTATGGTCATATGACAACCAACTTGGCTGAAGCAATAAATTCAACCTTAAAGGGGGCGCGTCATTTACTAGTCACGGCGTTGGTCAAAATGACTTATTTTAGTTTGGGTCAACTCTTTGCAAAACTCGGTGGACAAGCTCTTACTTGGTTGCAAAATGAACATATTTACCACCCAAGACTAGTAACTGATTTACAGAAAAAAGTGGTTGCATCATATGGGATGTTGGTTACAAATTTTTCTCGTACCCTTGAATTGTTTCATGTTACCAAAATGCCATGTCCGCTACAAGGGATTGAAGCTAACTCTTTCAGAGTTAATCTGCAAGAGAGGTGGTGCGATTGTGGTTTCAAGGTATATGAATTTGAGTTTCCGCCCATAGGAAACGAAAGATACCGAGATGAGATTCAAACTTGGCTTACAATTGTACCAGATCCATTGCTATTGAGGGACTCAGGTTATCCAAAATCTACTAGAATACATTGTGATATGGATATTCGGGAGAAGTCAACAGAACAAAAACGATGTGGGCATTGTAGAAACATCAGACATAATAGAAAAAAATGTCCAGCTCTGTTATCATCACATAACCGTTAACCCTTATGTAATTAATATTTTATTTAAATGAATGTTTTTGTTTCTAATATTTAAATGTAAATGCATTTTCTATAATTTCTCAATGTATGTACACCTAAGTAATTTTTTAAAAAAAATTTATTTAAAAATTATTTTATGATATTTATTTAATATAATAATTAATATAATTTATTATAAAAATTTTATTTATTAATTTTAAAATATTATAATAATTTCACCTTCTAAGTAGAGAAAAAAATATTAAATTAAACAAATTAAAAGTTATAAAAAATTTATGTATACGATTACACATTTCATATTCTGATTGGAGGATTAAATTTATTAAATTAAATTAAAAGTAAGACTAAATTGATAAAATATGTAAGTATTGAAAATTAAATGTGTAATTATACTAATTTTATTAGAGAAAATCGCCTCAGTGACCAAAAAAAAGTTATAATATACGATTTTAACCAACTTTTTTTGGATTTGCCAAAATGACCAACAAAATCGCAACGCGAAATAAAAATCGCAACGCGATCCCCAGAATCGCAAATCAGTTTCCAAAATCGCAACGCGATTCTTGAAAATCGCAATGCGATAGTACAAATTCGCATTGCGATTTTCCAAAATCGCAACGCGAATATGAAAATCGCAACGCGAACACATAAATCGCAACGCGTATCCGTAAATCGCAACGCGTATCCGTAAATCGCAACGCGTATGGGTAAATCGCAATGCGTATCCGTA